TGAGATTTAAGACAAGCGTAAGCTCACACGTAAGCAAGACTGCTTAGGCTGGAGATTGCTAACTACCTATTAGGAAAGCCAAATGAAGAAGGGGGGGGCAGCTGTGATGAAGCAATCAAGGCTGGACAACACTCACCTAGTCCTACTAGAGCCATTCTGCCAGTGGTGAAATGGTCCTCAACAAATGACTTAAGCTACAGGGAAGGATAAGGAGGAGGACAGGTGTTTAAGTGCATCACAAAAAGTACTATTTTGCTAATTGAATAGACCCTTTAAGACCCTTAAGAAAAAAAAAAAAAGATGTAACGCATATCCTTACCTGTTGAGAGGAGACATGGCCGACCATATAGTCAGGGCAGTACAGAGAGTTGGACAGGGTGTTTTTGTATGCTGCTTCATGCAACTTCTCAATTACACCTGCAGGAGAAAATTGAACAGGACACAATGAAAACTTTAAATATGGATAATCAAAAACTGCTGCATCTAAAAAACAAACAAACAAAAACAGCAACAATGCACAGGACTTTTTTCAGAAATCAAGTTAATTAAACAACTTTTGCACAAGTATTAACGTATGTCAGAAACCATGCAGAATATAATATATCTACAGTAATATGAGAGGGACTGGAATGCTTACTGCTCAATGAGGCTACAGATCTGACTGAAATGGCACAAAAAAACCAAAAAATGCCTCAATCCCAACAGCTCACGTTAAGCATTTCTGAAGTGGCCACAAAACTCAGAGCAAAAACATTATATAGCCTTGAGGTCTACCGCAGCTTAGCGAGAAGATTTTTGATGTTTTACATAATTATAGCCAAATAAAATCATCAAGGATCTTCTTTAGAAATTAAAAATCACTTTCACATCTGATAAAACTATTTCCTCAGTAAAAATACAGGCAATCAGGAGATGAACTGTTGCTTCTGTTACACACCTATCTGAGGACACTGCTGAGCCAGAGCCTTGTCAACCTTCACTCTGGGCGTCAGTTCGTCCACCTCCCATGGCCGAAACTCCTGAGCTGTAGTCACATTGACCAGAAACTCCATTAATGAATCTCTGGACACAAATAGGACAGCGAAGTGTCAACACAGCCTGACGAGTTTTAATGAAAATAGAGAAGAGAAAAAAATAACTTGACGTTAATATGGGAGCACTTACATGTCATCTCTCAAACAGTCGGCAGTGTAGACCATTGTCTCTCTTGATGATGTCGCGCTGCATGGATAGAGATGACAACACAGCTGATTCAGTGTGATCCGCTGCATAATTTTGAGCAACAAAAGCAGCGACGGTCAGTGTGTGCATGAAGTGTGCTCACTGACCTCAGGCTGCCCCCGATTGCTTCCACACTGCGACAGATCTTGAAGGCAGACGCTCCCTTTGTAGTCTACAAAAATAAAAATAAGATAAGTAAGCAGCGTAGGCTGTCAGGCTAGAGGTGCTGATAAAAACAAGTGCAGTCATGTCCTTCTTATTGTGGTAAGAATAACCTCAGGAATAATTAAGTTAGCTATCACACGCTTACAAGCTCATTCACAGTTTACCAGGTTCGCTGCCAGTCGTAACACATGGGAGACACCCTGGTTCTCCACAGTCTCATAGCGACTCCCAGCTTTCACAAACACACCAACACTTGACACGGGGGAGTAGTTTTCCAGCGAAGCTATCACCAGGCCGTTTGGGAGCTTGGACACCTGAAGGAGGAAAGAAAAAATGTTACACAAAACACACAACTTTCACACAGAAACAAAACTAGTGGTACACTGCAACTTAAGATGACACCAGCAATTAGAAAAATACTGCAAAAGCTCACAAAACACAGCAGAAGTGTTTTTTCGGAAGAAAATATCATGACAACCAGCTGTGAGTTAGATTTCCATTGTGTTTTGTTCGATTCGAGAGCAGCACCTACCTGGACATCCTGGGGAGGAAGAGGTGCGCCTTTGGACGGTTTCAGACCTGAGAGGGGTTCAGCCAGACTACCGCTCCTCCTGGCAGCTGCGTAGCAACGTTTCTGCAGGAAGGTGACACCGTAATTAAAGACAATGATTCATTAGCAGCTAAAATAAGAACAGGAAGTTATTACTGAATTATAGCCACAATCCCGTATATATCGTGCTGCTTTAAACTGTGTGTAAACACTAAATTGGCAGAATCTTAATCCAACAAAGAGTAACATGACCTCTAATGTTACATAATAGCTACTAACACATACAAGTAACACGCAGATTACACAAATATCACCAGCTAGGGAAGTCACCGCCTTTCTATGTCACATGGAGCTGCTTTAGGAAGGTCTTGAGACAACAACCTAATATAATCTAATACTGCAATCATCTAATATTATTTTTACTTTTAATTGGGTTTGCATAACTGATAATAGTAATTTTTCTTGCAGAAATGCCCAAAAGTATGATCTAGGCCCCCTAAAACCAGGCCGTCTTAATAGGACCACAAAATCAAAACAGCACCTGTGTGTGCAGGCTGAGAGCAGCTTGACCTGACGTGACCTGTGCACATTTATGTCCCGGCAGCAAAGTCTGGGACTAATGTGGGAATGCACTAGCATCATAATTGGATAACACCGAATTTATGACCAAATAGGGGGCCTGGTTCGGTCAAAACGGACGCTGGTGGACTGGAATTCAGGGATGACCTTCAGGTTACACCCAGCTTACCACAGCAATGCAAAAGGCGACATAAAACAGCTAAGTCGAGCCCACACGCTTTTCAAATTGTATTTATATTTTTTACTGCACACTTGATGTTTATTTTATTGTTTTCAGTACGTGTGAATGATGAAATTAGAACGTTGCCCCTAACTCGAGACAGAAACCGTTTTACGGTAGGTAAACTTGGAGAGCTAACCGGCTAGCAGGCTAACTGCTACAGCGAATGGTCGGTTTTTTTAGACCGGGACGAGCAGGGAGCAGATCCGGCGGATGACACCACTCAGACCGCACCAACACAACACAGGACTCACGGAGATAGTGTTCAGAGACTGTATTCCTCTCATGACTCCTCACTCTCTCCTTCAGCCGGTACAGAAAGACAGATATGACGGCAGACTGACGTCTTACCCACAACTCACTGCGCCGTGTAGTCGCTAAACCTTTCAAAATAAAAGTATCACAGCGTGTTTCAAGTTTCCTTGAGCTAGTGAAAACTGTTCGGCTTGTGGCTCATTAACAACATCAGCAAATAATAATAAACATCATTCCTCCCCTTTCTCCTCCTGCTTGGCAGCTCGTTCTTCAACATCCTTTGTCCAGTATATCCACTCACCCCCCTCTGGACGATTTATTTCCAAAGTGCTCAACCTGAGCTGTCCCTCAGATGTACTGACTTCTAAACCTGTTAATTACAGTCACTCACCTTCTATCTTTTTGTGACATAATAGCAGGTCTCACTACCATCCTGTAAACCTTTCATTTCAGGTTTGCTGCTATCCTTCTGTCCCACTCCATCCTGCCTACATCTCTCTCTTTTTTTTTTTGCATTGTCCATCACTCTGGATAGTGGACCCACACATTTCAACTTCATTTGCCTCTTTAAAATGTTTTTCAGATGCAGACAGCCTCCAGGCATTTTAATGAGATAAATTTAGCTAATGAAGCATCGGTTTCACCACGCACAATAAAATTTGTTGGTCTTTTATGTAAACATGAGAAACATGAGAAATGCTGGAAAAACTTCTCAACCCCAGGAAATCAGGGAAAGCCTGTAACTTGGAAAAGCATAGATACAATTTGACATGGCACTAAAGTTATTGTACCAGAAAGGTGGTGTGGATGTCACAAAGTCAACTACACAAAGTCTACTACAGAAAACTAAAACTAAGCTAAAAACTAAACTTCGATTTAAAACAAAAACAAGAAGAAGAAAAAAGAACACTAGACAATTTAAAAAACTATTAAACTAACTGAAATGATTTTGTGAACTTGGCCACCTAAGAAAATGTATTTAAAATGCAGAGGAAAAATACTTAGTCTTTGCCAGCTTGATGCATTTTTACTGTAATGCTGCTTTTCCTAAATCTTGCCTTTGATATCAGCCCTCCAAACAATGTTAATTAAAAACTTTTTTTCTAAATTTCTTCGCATTATCCCCCAGATTTTATGAGGTATCTGGATTTTTATTATTTTGTTGTTTTTATCATCTCGTGCTAAAAGGTCACGCGCTTCTTGTCCTTCACCCATTTCCTTCTTTTTCTTGCGGTCGGTGTTTCTCCGCTTCACCTGGAGGTGAACGTGTTTCCTTAAATAAAAGTGGGTGTGGCTGTGTGGAGATCGCACGTAGGCAGCACGAGCCCGTCTTTAAATGTTCGTGGAAACTTTTTTCGCCTTGCGCAAAAAAAAACAAGCAAAATGTGCGCAAAATTAATTATATGATTATAAAACGTGCACACCGCCGTGCGTATGTTAGGAAGGCAGACTGATTTTGAACCAAGAATGTTCAGTCTGCATGCAGCCACGCCCCCATTTCTCTAAAGAAGGAAACACGTTTGTGTCCAGGTGAAGCGGAGCAAGCGGTGACAAGAAGCGCGAACCAGAAAAGAAAGAAGAAAACCAAAAAGAAATTTGACTGGAAAAAATCAATTCTAGAGACAAGAAACACATCAAGAGCCCCAAAGTCTTCTGTGCAACTGAAAGATTTCAAGATTGTAATATTAAACAAACAAATCTTAATTTTAAAAACAAAACAGCATTAAACATGCTGACTGTACCTACTGCTGCTATGAGATTGTCATCCATCCCTTATTTATTCCAACATCTTCACACTGAGCCATAAATATGAAATACATGTTATTGTCTGCATCATGCTGACAGTATCATCTGCTTTCTACATGTACTTAATAAAGCTGATTCTGATCTTGGGTATTTGATACTCTTTAAAAATGTCAATGTAACAGGAGTGCATTCATCAATACTTTCGATTGTTTTCAGGCTTCATTTGTAAAAAGAAAAAACAAAAACAAAACTGACCCACCCACATTCACAGTAAAGAAGTAAACATCTTTATTACAAGTCATTTTCACTTTAATTCACCAGTATGCATGACGCACATTACAAAAATATACTCAACATATAACAGGTAGTCAAGACAATCACTAAGAAGTTCAATGTGTAATTACAAAAAACACTCACATGTACACCTTTGCCCCGCCCACACAGGTAACCTTCAAAAACATTCATAACTGACTCTTTGGCCCACAGAGCTTTTTAAGAGGACCATTCTAATCTTATCAACCTCCAATAAATACAGTCACATAATACAAAAATAACCCCATCGGCTGGGAAAACATCCAGATTGTGGCGCTCGGACAATAAAACAACAACTAAAGAATGTTCACATCATACAGAGCGAGTTTAGACTGCGGACATCAGATCATTTATGTTAAATCACTGCACCTCTGCTGCCAAGCCACAAAAGAAAGGACCCCAAAGTGATTAAGACTTATTCCACAGGCTGTCACCAAACAGGTCCCAGAAACAGCTCAAGCAGCTCAGTGCCAGTTCCAGGCATCACTCCCCAGCACGCCAGTCTTCGCAGCTCTGAGTCTTGTAGCGCATAATCTCCAAGGAGAGTGCAATTTAAAAAAATAAAAACAAACAAAACCACAGGAGATTTCCCATTTGTTGTCCTCAATTTTCACTGGGCGTCCCGGGACTGCTGCTCACTTGGATGTCCTTTCTAAGCCGGAGAGAGACGCAGCTGAGCCAGCTGCGGCTGGTAGGCATCTCCCCAACAATCTCCCACGTGTCCGTCTCGTCACAATACCTCTCGATAGTGTCGTGATATCTGCATGCAGAGCGGGATCAGCTTTAGACAACCTCATTCACCTCTCCTGTGTTTAATCCACAGGAATTTAACCCTCATTTTCTTAATATTTCAAATAAATGTGAGCTCTGCAATCGCCTGGAAAACACGAAATTTACAGGCAACATCTTTTCTAGAAAGCTCCTCACCTGTCCCAGCCCTCTTCTCCTCCCAAGACGTAGATTTTGCCATCCACGACAGCAGCGCCGGGCCGATAGCGTCGTTCCTTCATGGGGGCACACATCGTCCACTGGTTGGTCTTTGGATTGTAACACTCCACTTTATCTGTGTTCTCTGTCGAGGCATGCCATCCGCCTACAAAAAAAGGATTTAACAGACATGACTGCACTTTTAGGAACCAGAACAAAGCACAGTTAATGGGCTGGATGATAAGTTTGTTACCTATGACGTAAATCTTTCCTTTAAGAGTACAAGCAGCTGATCCAGAGCGGGCAATCTGCATGGGGGCGACCTCTGTCCATACTGCCGTTTTAGGGTTGTACACCTGTGCCAGATCTGTGCCGTCACCATCCTCTAGGACCGCACCACCTGCCGTGACACATCCCGAGTGAATAAATACACCACATAGAATCAAAATGAACAACAACAAAAAAAAAAAAAAAAAAAAAAAACCCTGCACGTGTAAAAACCTGCGTTTTCTACCAGTAACATAGAGCAGGCCGTCCAAAGCCACCACTGCTGGACTTGTGACGGCCATCTTCACAGACTCTGTAAACTGCCAGGAGTTGGTGTGGGGGTTGTAGCACTCCACCGAGTCCAGACGTGAGCGTCCCTCCCACCCTCCCACTGCGTACACAAAGCCATCAAGCATCACCAGGCCTGTGGGGAGAAGGCACAGCGGATAAATAAACATTGTTGCAATTAAAAACAGTCCTTCAGTTTACAGTTGGACATCTCATGCCCCGGTCTAATTTTCATGTTTTCTGTCCTATTCATTAACCATTACAACGACAGATGCTCATTAATGTAGGTCAACATTTGAGTTAATAAAGTCAGTATATGTAGAAGACATCACTATTAGCAATATTAAAGTACATTTAATGCTCAGTTTTACACTTATTTTCCACTTATGGAGGCGCATAGATCATAAGGGCACAGCTATGGCCACCTCAATCCTTCTGTTTGGGAGGGGCAGCCAATCAGATAAAAGCTGGGTTAGAGGGAGAGGAAAGGAGGTAAGACAGCTCATTAAGGGTCAGTTTGAGATAAAGATTTTGAACTGTGCATCATGTATGGTAGTGGTGCCAAACATGAGGTCCAAAGGACAGAAGTGGCCCAGCAAAGACTGCACTGGGGGCCACTGGAAGGCTTTGAAAAAAAGAAAAAAAAAAAAAAATGTGAATGAGTGTGTCGATTTTGAACTTATAGCTGTGTTGTCATAAGTTTTACAGCTTTTTCTATTGTTTAAGACGTCTACTATTGCCATTCATACTACACAAAGGCACTTATATAAAAGCACTTTCCTCCTCCTCAGCACCAAACAGCAAAAAAAAAACAATTAAATGGCAGAAAGGGACCCATTTTTCTATTATCTGCTATGGAAATGTCTGGATTCTCTTTTTTAATTTTTTAAAGTAGGATTATAACAATCAAAAGACTCCTTTTGGAGCTACTAGAATCAAACAAAGTTAGGATAGTTTATAGAGTTCTTGAGAAGCAAAATAGGGTAACGTGGCTGAAAGACAGAAGCTGTAATTACCAAGACTCCCTCACCTAACTCTGAGCGAGCTACATTCATGGGTGCCATTTCCATCCAGGAGTCAAAGCAGGGGTCGTAGCGCCACATCTCTCTGCTGGCTGAGCCATCGGGAAACTCTCCACCTGCCAAATACAGGGTCGAATCTACAGGCGGGGACAAGGAAGAAAGGTGATTGGATAAGCAGAAGTATACATTTTCAGCACTTAAGTTTATCTGTGCATTTCAGAGTGTCTTAACCCATCAGGCTGAGTTTTACTGACCCCCTCACCTGAGACCACCAGCCCGTGTTTGCTCACGGCGAAGGGCAGGCATGCCAGGTTCTTCCACTGGCTCGTCACAGGATCCAAGCTCTCGACGCTGCGCAGCACCACCTTGTCGTCCTCCCCGCCAACTGTGACTATCACTTCAGCGGTTCCTGTTTCCGTGGCAACAGGAGTAGAGGAAGAGAGGAGTGAGCCACATATGTTAATGTAAAAGAAAAAAAGCAGCCTGTATGGTACAACATAAGAGTGCGTGGAGCTGCCTACCATTTTATATTCAACTTCCACTATTCTCTTGATTTGCATCTGGATTAGGCTAAAACTGTTTGGTCCACAGTTTGATAACACAAACCGGGAAAACCAGCAAACATCTAAAAATCTGGAATCCAAAATCTTTCTTCTAATAGAAGTAGACCCAAATAATCGTCTCTCCATTGAATAGCCGAGCATTCTTAAACCCTTGCGGAGTATGAGGACGGGGAGACAGATACACACTAACAAATCACCAGGCTGACAGAAAATAGTGCAAAGCTAAAAATTAGCTCTTTGATTCAGACGTGAGTGTTTTTTTATTTTTACCAGTGGACCTGCGAGGCCTCGCTCTCGGGCAGTAGAGCTCTCCACGCCGGTCCTTAAGCAGCAGATAGTCCTTGGCCTCAGAGATGAGCCTCTGGCAGACCTGGCTCTCCTTCACCACGTCCAGAGACTCAATCACATCATGGAGGTAATAGGGGCTGATGAGAGGCAGGCGGATGTGCTCCAGGACCTTTGAGGAACAAAAAATGGAAGGGGATCTGATGGGTGGTACTCATGAGCAGCTGCTGTGGTCATGGATTTTCATTCATGGAGTATGGCGCCCCTGATAACAGGATAGCACCAAACAACAAAAATGTATGAACCCCCCCTTTTATTTTTAAAGATAAGCCTGAAATTACCTGCTAATAACTCTCCTCTCACCTTTTCAAAGCTCTGTTTGCGAGAGGAACATTTATTCAACCACAGCATGGCGGCCTCAAACACGGTCTCCTCTTTGGGCACGTTGAGGAGATCGCTGGCAAGGATTTCCGTCAGCTTGTCCACACACAGAGACAGAAACTCCTCCTGGAGGAAGACAGGAAGCGCCGAGAGTTTGATTATTTATGTGAGGGCACAGCTTTGCATTAACAGTAGGTGATACAAGATTACCTCCTTCACGACTCCCTACTCTGGGTTTCCATCACACCCTCACCTGCTGACAGACCGTGCTGAAGTGCTCAAGGATGTAGTCCATGCTGCGTTTCTCCAGCACCTTACAGGAATGCGCCTCAGCAAAGCAGTGAATACCCACACAGTTCATCTCGTCCATCTGACGCTCCATGAAGCGACAGCAGGCCTCTCGGACCGCCATCACATCCAGCAGGTTGGCTGCTGCCAGCAGCGCCTGGATACAGATCACTTTCTAAGCACGCACGCGCTTCACGAATGACGGCAATGAAGAGGCATGAGAAGATTCACTACCTGCACGTTGGCTTTGGAAATGTAGACCTCTGATGTGTAGGCGTAGCTCACCAGCATGCCAATCATCTGAGGCTCAACACCATTGATGGCAACACGCTCCTGCTTGGACTCTATGAGGTCAGCGGAAAACATCGCCTAAGGATGGAGAAGGAAAACACATGATTCTAAAGGTGGAGTCGTTTTCAGTATGGACATACATGTGAGGAAAAGTGCGTTTACCTGGAAGTAGGAGCTGAAAGATGCCAGCACTATGCGGTGGCAGGGGAACTCCTGTCCTCCGCAGCACAGAGTCACATCGCAGAAGGCGTTGTTGAGCCGCAGGCTGTTGAGGCCCTGCAGGACTGTGTTGGGGTGCCTGGTCTCCACAAACAGGTAGTCCTCGCTGTTCTGGGGAGCAGGGACAACGGCAGGAGTCGGGCTGGCTTCCTCCTGGACCTTAACGGTGGCGTTGATAGAGGAAGGCAGGAGCAAACCGGCGCTGACGGAGATTATTTCAGCCATGTCTGCCATTGCAACCCAAGCCTGGGAGGCAAAATATCACAGTTAGCACTCTTGAACGCAAACTAAGACAATCAGAAAACGGGTTGAGACATAGCTGGCAACGCAAATCAGCCTCGCAAAGCACTCATTTGAAAGTGAAATGCGTGTAAGTCGCAGAAGGCTGCAAAGCAAGGCGGGGAGAGAGGACCCGAGATTGTCTCACTAATGAGGCTTAGCTGTGAGGCAGCGGCCAAAAGAAGCGGCTTTGTGCCGAGCCAGACTACTCAGACAGCTCAAGAACAGATATGCGATCCACACACAGGTGAGATTAATCACTCAGCAGCGGAGGGACCAAAACAACTCACCTGTTACACATAGTCGTGACTGCTGCGGAGGACTACTCGCTCTCCCACATACCAACCAAACCAGCTTCCGACAGTCCTGAGCAACATTAAACGCCTCTCGCTGCAAGCCACGCCCACACACGCCCGGCAAACGTAAGAGTGTTCACCCCCATGTAGTTCCTGCTTTGTTTGTTCATCAAAGAGTGACACACAAATTTTTCCCTACTTTTTTGCAAAATCTGATCGTTTGCCAAAAAATATGATTTCCGGTATTTTCTAAAAAGTGTATGCAAACTGTTGCAAATGACTTATTGGCCTACAATCTGTGAAACATGTCAAAATCATCTCTCGTGAATAATGTCACGTCATTTTCGTGTGTGTGTGTGTGTGTCCTTTTTTCACCTCCTCCTAAATATTTCATGTACTTTAATCGGTGCTCTTTGTATATACACTCACTGGTGAGCAGTGACAGACTGCTGCATCTTAGATGCAAGAAGGAGCGTTTCCAGTGGTCCTTCCTCCCTGCAGCTGTCAGACTGTGCAATCAAAACTGCTCTCAACAAACATAGATGTTTACATCAGCGCTGTAACTTGCACCAATCAACCGAACAAATACTACTTTTATAACTTGCACATTACTTTTTCTCAATTTATATATACTAACTTATTGTAAGTTACATGTCTACTTTTTAATGCACAGGTGCAATACACAATCTGTACTTTTCTAATTATTCTAAATATTCTTAACTATTTAAACATCTTGCAGTATCCTGCTCTGTTTGCACACTACAACCTGGGTTTGCCACTTATCTGTACTTTAATTTTAACAACTGTACAGTACCCTGATTTGGTAACTATTATCCATGATGTAAATATGTAAAAAAAAAAATGTTTGTGTTTCTGTTCAATGTCCTGTGTCCTTTCTGTTTGTTTTTTTGTTGTTGTTTTTTTTGTTTTTGTGTATGTGTGTGTTGCTGTTACAACCAAATTTCCCCTTGTGGGACAATTAAAGGACTATTCTATTCTATTCTATTCTATTCTATTCTATTCTATTCAGGTCACTCCATTGTGTTTACTAGTTCACCAGTTTTAGCCTGCCTGCTTGTATTTGCTGTGAGTCATTTAGTGGCTCCTGTGCTTGTTTTCCTCTCTTTTTTGTTGTGTTCGTAGCAGCTGTTGTTCCTGTCAGGGAAATTTTAAAACCCATTGGGAAATATTAAACTGGAGAGACTATCATGTACGTTTTGTTTATTTAACAGGTGTGTTATCTGAGGTCGACATGATTACAATAAAACATTCAGCTGCACAAGCAAATCATCTGTGTGCCATATCACCTCATATGTGGAGAAAGTCAGCCAGCAGGTCAATACCAACACTTTATTATTTATTATTCTTTATTTTTCTTCCCATAATTATTCTTTTCTTCTCTTGTTTTAAAACCAGATGTATAAGATATTGTTGATATTGTTGGTTGATGCTGCCATGCCACTTTTAACTTGATATAACAGGTATACACGGAACATATTGTCATAATATGATCAATAAAGTTCAATCTGTAGAAATGTTGGAATTTTTCACTAGTTTGCTGAATCATGTTTGTTTTATACAGAAATTGAACTGACAAAAGGCTTATTTTAAATTTGGAGGATAAATAACTGTTTTTGTTTCAGATTACAAGGAGCTGTCCTTCATGACGCCTGCATTTTCCAGCGCCTTTCTTCTGCGAGCAACAGCTTCTAAGATCTTCTTCCTGGGTCCGAGCTGGATGCGGATCCCTTTGAGGTCTTCATCAGAGCAAAGCAAGAGTGCCTCCAAGTCAAGGTGCTCTCTGTTGAATGCGGGCGTAAAATCTGGCAAGGAGATAGAGGACAGGAACACATCCAAAGGAGAGGTTTCCTCATCTTCATCGTCATCCAGTCCCAGATCTTCCTGTTCCCACGGCAGTGCATTGTCGCCCGTCATCAAGCCAGAGGTGTCTTCGTCTGCCTCAAACGTCTCGCTTTGAACGAGGTAACCAAGGCTTTCATTGGCACTGCTGGGGATGTCGTCAGAGTCTAGCCCCATCTTCTTCCTGAACATCAGACCTCCAAGGCCGGGCCGATTGAAGATGGATTGTTTCACTTGGCCTCCATCGTCGTCGTCATCTCCGAAGCTGTCCATTTCTTCTAGCATGTTCTCTTCCTGCTCGTTGAAGACGTCCACAAAGTCTGGGTTCTCAGATCCGCTCTCTGGTTTGAGGAAGATAACGTTCCCACTTCCTTCTGACCTCTGCAGCGTGCCTTTGTCCTTCTTCCCAAACTTCTTCAGGAGTGTGCCTTTAATAGAGCCAACTTTATCGTCAGTGATGAGCTTGGAGAAGTGTTCGTTGACGCCCGTGATGGTGCCATCGTTTGACAGTGACGATGCTGTTCCTGCATCTGAAAAGGAGCCGGAGTTGCTCCCACGCTGCATTCTATCCATTTTGCTTTTGTGTTTTTTCTTCACCTTCTCACAGAGTTTCACGCGTTTCTCTGCCTCTTTTTCTGCCTCTTTCTTCAGATTGGCGACCTTTTTCGGATTTTGGTTGGTCTGCTTTGCAGCAGCAGCGTCGAGGAAGCGCACACACTCCATGTGGTCGCGTGAAGCGGCGACATCCATTGGCGTGTGGAATTCATTGTCCAGAGCAAAAAGGTTGGCGCCGAAGTTGACCAGGAAGCTGAGGATGTGCATGTGGCCGTTACCTGCTGCATGGTGCAGGGGTGTGTTTCCCCAGATGTCACTCCTGTTGGGATCTCCTCTGTACAACACGAACACACAGAAAAGATTTTTTTATCATTAGTGATGATATTTTCATTATTTGGCTATTCTGTATTCCTGATTTATACCAAACTCCATGCACAGTAGTTTTTCATGAGTTTAGAGAAAATGATTAAATGATAAAAAATGACATTTAAAAAAATGTCAGTCCAGGATCAGTCCAGGAAATTAAATTAAAACAGAGAATAGATCCACATCCAAATCTAGCATATGACAAATTAAAGATGGGTGAAGTTAACTAGTGAGCTATTAAGACTTAAAGTCCTTTTACTGCTGCCCCCTGTCAAGTTTTGATTGCTGTGTGACTGCTACACCTTGTCATAAATCCCAGTTCATGCTGCGTAATGACCAAAGAGGAAATGGTTTAGATAATCCTGGCCACGTAGCCAAGACACGCTTTATGCCCATTGAAATATAAATAAAATAAAACTAAACTTCTCTGAATCTCAAAAGTCTGTATGGTCTTGATTTTGTATGGTCTTGGTTGTAGTGAAAGAGGGACGGAGGTACATGTGGAGTAGCGGTGGCGGTGGCGGTGGTGGTGGTGGCACGGCCTGGATGAACAGCTCTTTTGTTTTTGTGGGATGGATTGGGCTGGTTAAACTTTTGGCTCAGCTAATGGGAAATAAAGTCTTAGCTCATTAAAATGGAGTGAACAATAGCTGTGGAAAAAATCCAGATGAAGTGCCAAAAACAAATAAAGTACATATGAGAAAGCATAAAACACACTTTATTTCATGCTGGTCAACCTTTGCTCTGTGAGCACTGTTCCTGGTTCCGCTGTAGATCTTAATCTTATTTGGTTTTATAAAATATAATGTATTTAAATGAAAATATTTTATGTCTAACTTTATGTTTTCTTTAGAAATGACAGAAAAATTACACAGCCTGAAGAAAACACTTGACGAGAACTCATATGTTCAGGTCGTTTTTGTCTCAGTGTAAGATGTGAGATGAAGGACAGGCGATAGAAAACTTACTTTCTGCTGCATATGAGCTGAAGAGCACTGATATGTCCATGAAAAGCAGCCAGTATGGTGGGAGTCATGCCATCCTCATCTGGCGTGTTCAGGTCCTTCACCGTGGCCTCCTTCAAGAGTTCCACGTATCCATCAATCGCTGCTTTGTGGTACCTAGACATCTCTGGTAAGAAGGGAAAAGCTTGGAGAAAAATAAAAATCCAAGTTTCTCTGCGCCCCCCCCGGCTAACGTCAGATGAGCAGAAGCGACTGCAGACCCAAGCAAACAAAGCGATGACTGGGCGTCAACGCACCAGCAGCTCGGGGCCATAAAACAAAAGCAAAGTTCGCTTCACTGCTGTGAGCTGCCCCATTTCCTCAACACTATAAAAAATCCCTTACTGCGATTTCACCCAGAAAACGTGTTCACACACAGCAGGAGTTTCTGCTGTAATCACTGTTTCTTCACAGGTTTGAAGGCAAAAGCAATCTTTATGAAAGAATAATATATTGTTGTGAATTAGAATGACCAGTAAAATGAAAATGGAACATTCTGTTATTTCTAGTTTTCAGGTTTTAGCTCGTTAGAACTCTAAATTCTTCATCAACATTTGTAAACTGATGTTTTTATGATGCATTTTTATTCTGTAATTTGTAGAAAAGTATTTAAAAGAGTAAAAAGCGACATCAACTCCCTCTGTTACCTTGAATCAACTTAAAACTTGGAACATTCAACTTTTTAACTTAAAGCGTTTATACCTAAAAACTGTCTTAAGTATAATACATGATTAAAGCTTTTATTAACAAATTATTGCTCTATTCTATTTATATATCTATTTATCCATCTAATCTAATTAGATATTGTTAAAATCTTGACAGACATGCTTGATTGGGTCATTAATTACAGGAAAAGTAAAAATAACACACTATACTTAAAGTATCAACTGTACTAAAAAACAGGAAAAATAAAGTATTTTTTATTATTAATTATTGCAAACAGCTTGTGATTATTTAAATCATGTGTTAATCTATTTTCTTGATAAATTCATTTATTGTTTTGTTTGTAAACAGTTTTAGCAAGATGGATATATTTAATCAAGGTACACGTTCATTTTTTTAAACATGCAATTCAGTTGTTTTCTTTACTTTTTAAAAAACGGCTGATTAGTCACATGTTCTAATTTTGCTACTTGTTTAGGTTCAAAATAATATTGCAGGATAGTTTTCTTTTTACAAGATATTATATTCATCATGGGAGCTCGTCCTTAGAGCTTAGCGTTAAAAAGAGAAATTTCTCCATGAAATGAATTGGAGAAACTGTTGATGTGAAGTAACATGAAACAGAAGTGTATGCGTACAAGCCCAGATACAGTCCAGCATGTGTATTTTACATAAGTGTACTAAAAAAGCATTAGTGTAAGTCTCTTAGACCGTGTGTTGTCATATCTAGATGATTATGATATCTAAGTCTGTCCCTTTGGGGGTGTGTCAGAAAAAATCTGGAAAATCACACATGCTGTGGTGAACTGCCGCAAATAAGTGCTGTAAAATCCCATATAGTTTTTCCACCACTTCTCCTTCCAGTCCAGTAGGTGGCTAATAAATTCTATGCTAAAGTTAATGATTTACCAAAACCAGAAGAAGAAGAAAGAACCGGCAGAAGAGTCAACAAAAGAAGAAGAAGAACCTGTCCAATCAGCGGCATCTTGGGAGGAACTATCCCCCGACCAGAAGAGAGTGAACCCAATCTGACAGTTTTTCACTCTCTTCTTTGGTTTCTGTTTCTTGTCGCTTTTCAGCTTCCTATAACATGAAGTTGTGAATAATTATTGTTTAAAACGTTTCCACTGTTCGGAAAACCCGGACATCTTCCATTGGGTTCACGGCAGTTACTTCCCGGTGTTTAGCTTGTGTGGTTGGACCGGGGAGAACCTGCAGAGATGTCCGACAACGGTGGCTCGGCCGTCGGCCTCCTATCCTATGAGACGCTGGTTCATGCTGTGGCAGGTGCAATGGTGAGTAGCTTTGTTTCTTATTTATTTGTTTTTTATGGGGGTTGGGGTATTATCCTTCTAATAGCAGAATGCATGGTGTTGAAGAAACCACTTTAAGCTGAACAATGGTGTTAGATGTTGTGTTTTCAGGTGTCAGTATGGATGTTAATGTTGCAGTGCATTGTCTTTTTAGGGGAGTGTGACAGCTATGACCGTCTTCTTTCCTCTGGACACGGCCAAAAGCAGACTCCAGGGTGAGCTGGGGGGCTTTATCATCTTGGACAGAGGTCACCTGATAAGCTGCAGAGTTGAAAGAGGTTTAACGCTGGGGTCATTATAGAGCAACCGTAACTGCGTCCCAAAGAGTAGCGCACTGATAAATGTAGTTTTTATTTTACCTCATAAACAATCAATTTCTGTTTGTTGTTTCATGTGTCTTTTTTTTTTTTTTATTGCAAAGCACGCTCATGTTCAGCTCTATATGAGACATAAAAAGGTGTGTTATGCCTTTCTGCTTCCACTCTTTTATATTCCACAAGCTGAGATAATGCAGTTAAACTGATCTTTGTGTGTCAAGTCATTGTCCAGAGACTCATTGCCTGATTTCTGGCATATTTGTGTTTATTTTTCAGTGGATGAGAAGAGAAAGTCGAACTCAACTCCAGTCATTCTGGCTGAGATAGCAAAGGAAGAAGGCTTGTACGTATAGTGTTGGAATTTAAAATCACTGAGGCTTCTGGTTAGAAATTACACAAGTTAAGCCTTGTTTTACTCTTATTTGACCATATTTATAATTTAATCAAATGTTATGAACCAAAACAAGGTAATCACAGATATAAACAGTTAATGAAAATAATTGGTAGCTGCAGCTGTAATCTAATCCATGGTTTAGGATGATGTTTTGACCACATGACTAAAAACACAGTACTCAAATGCCTCATCACTACCTCTCCCAGTCTGTCACTGTACAGAGGCTGGTTCCCAGTTATCTCCAGCCTTTGCTGCTCCAATTTTGTCTACTTCTACACGTTTAACTCACTGAAGAAGCTGATGGCATCTGGTCCAGGCCAGTCCAGACCTGGGAAAGACTTGCTCATTGGAATTGTGTCAGGTAAGTACTGACCTGATGGAAATTGTCTGAAAGACTTAAATGGATGCAAGGTGTCCAATTAATAGAGAAGCCTGTAGCACAAAAGGCAAACTTTTCAAAAGTGGAGGGAGTGACTGTGTGACAGATGTCTGGATTGAATGGATGAATCCTGGATTTGTGTGTGAAACGTTTGCATGCATGTATCCCATAGACTGTATGCAAAAGATGGTGATATTATCCTCTGGTTTGTGGATTCAAGAAACTTGAATATCTCTTGTTCATGTAGGAGTGGTGAATGTGATCCTGACCACTCCCATGTGGGTGGTCAACACTCGACTGAAGATGCAGGGGGTAAAGTTCAGAAACGAGGACCTCCACCAGACTCACTACAGAGGCATATTTGGTGAGCGCTTCATATCTGTTAAACAGGTCAAAACTTCTGACGTGCTTGTCTTGTGTCTGTGTGATTGTCAAACCTCACTGCTTCTCTTTCAGATGCTTTCTCACAGATCATAGCCAACGAGGGGGTGGGAACTCTGTGGAACGGCACTTTGCCCTCTCTCGTCCTCGTACTCAACCCTGCTGTGCAGTTCATGATTTATGAGGCCATGAAGAGGAAGGCAGGCAGAGGAGGGAGGAAGGTAAGAAGACTTAAAGGGAACCAGTGATGTATGCAATATTGCCTTATTGAAGCTAATCAGTCAGCATCCTGTCGTTCCATAGCTGAAGGGCTGCGATCAGGAGGGACCCTGTTTAGACCAATCTAGCGATCAGTCACCTGACCTGTGAACTTTCGTCTTTTACCACAGATATCCTCAGCAAAGATTTTTCTCATTGGAGCCATTGCCAAGGCCATCGCTACCACTGCCACGTATCCTCTGCAGACAGTTCAGGCCATACTGAGGGTAAATACTCTAATACAGAAAATGTTATTCCTGTATTCTGTTTTTCAAAGATTAGGCTGATGAAGTTCAACATTTTTGCAATGACAGAAAATTCAGTAAACAGACAAAAACAACTACAAATTGTATCTGTGTAATTTTATGTGTGCCAAAAGCAGTCTATTACTCTTACACGGGCAAAATGATGTTTCCTCAAAAACTAAAAACTAAAGTGGAACTCCTGGCTGAGTCTGGGACACAACATTGTGTAAATTTGACTTAATTTTGTGTACACTCCTCAGAAACTTTATTAGGGGAAAAAAAAATTCTGATCCGGTCCCAGTAGATAAGAACGCCTGCTACCAAAAACCAAGCTACATTCACTTATATCACATTTCTTTCCCATTCTGATGCTCAGCAGCAACTTCACTATATCACTAAATTAGCTGAGTTGCTGCAATGTGATTGGATGATTAGATATTTCTATTGATCAGCAGATGAACCGGTTTAAACAAAGTGGCCGGTGAGTGTGTATTAATAGAAAAATTTAGAGAAACCAGAGCATCTTTATATGGTTAATACCATCAAACACTCGATGCAAATATGCATGACTGGTAAATGATATTTAATCTTTACTACACATGCATCACTTGTTTTATGCTTTTTCATCAGTTTGGCCAGTATACAAGTGACGCCGAGGGTGGTGGTGTGATGGGGAGCCTTTCTAACATTTTGTTCCTGCTCATGGACCGGATAAAGTGAGTGCAGCATCTCTAAAATTACACTATCTAGTCACTCGACTCACAACAAGCACATGTGTGAATATGTAGCAGTGGTCACAGTTGTATACCCGTGTTTATCGCAGGAAGCACGGTGCTCTCGGTTTGTACAAAGGCCTGGAGGCCAAGCTGCTACAGACGGTACTGACGGCTGCACTCATGTTTGTTGTGTATGAGAAGATCGCTGCAGTGACCTTCAGACTCATGGGGATGAACAAGAAACTGAAGCACTGAAGACTGCTACCTGAACACAGCAAACCGTCAGTGCACTCATCCTCAGTAGGTTTTAAAGCCTGCTGATGCTATTACTAACATTATGAATTGTTTCTGTCGCATAGGCACGATAATATGAGCCCGCAATGGTGCTTTGGGAGCCCCACATTCCTATTCCATTCCCAAATTATATAACAAAACCAGAGGGGGGTTTAATTATTGCTATTGTTAACCTCTAACTGTGAACATCTGTGCATACACATCCTCTCCACTGGTGCATTTCTCTTGGTTAAGCATGGTCCTGCAGGGACTAAAGTTAACTGAGTTTATGTGACAAAGAAAAACATACAGACATTATTTATTAGTTTGGTTTGCTGTATAATATCTTCTAGTGTGAGGTGAGTTAAACAGGTCCTGTATTGAGTAACTGTTTGAAAAGAACACCTTTCAAAGAGCTGAACTTTCTACTGTTAAAAAATAAAACTCTGTCAGGTGATGATTTAAAAAAAAACCAACAAAAAAAACCCGTTTAGGCAAAAGAACACAAATACACCTGTTTGGCCTCTTTCTGAGAGATGTTGGCTGCACTGAAAGACTGATACAGCTCTCGTGGAAATATACATGCTCTTTAAGAAATTACTGGTTCAAATCAATGGGCCAGACTAGCTGCTTTCCCCTGGTCCGAGTTTTTGTCATGAGTCTGCTGTAGTTTCATATTTCACTATAGGAGATGAATGATATTTGTCTTTACATTTACATTTTCATATGAATTTGAAAAAGTGTATTTCAATTTAAGACTTTTGTCTTAACATTTGAGCTTTATTGCACGTGATGATAAGTTTACTGCTGCCTTAATCTAAACCACTGGGCCATTCTTTACATACACTTAAGCTTTTAACTGTGAATTTATCCAGTTGTGAAATCCTGCAAGATGGAAACCTCATTAAATTAATTTAATATAAATTGAGGGAAAAGCACAGTGTATGTGTCTGCACATGCTGCAGTAGTTGTAGGTAGCAAGTGCCTCTGATTGTAATGCATTATGAAAAAGAAACTGTATGAACTGACATACAGACGAGTGACAAATTAAAGGAAAAAAACAAGCTAAAATCTTAGTTGTGCGTCCACAGCATCAGTGCACCTCAGCATGTATTCTTAAAGTCTTTGGACCTACAAAGATAAACAGTATTCTTCCAAAAGACACACCCTCATTATGTTGCTGGTGGTGGAGTACACCAACTAACACCTACACACAAATTTCTCTCAAATTAGCTTGTTTTGTGGTCTTGTGACTGCAAAAGCTGTAGCTTCTGATTCATGAAACCAGTCAGAGTATAATATTTCCTCACTGCAGGAATTAGAGGTTTGTTTCCCCCATAGACTGAATATAAAACGTGGATGGATCCACTATCAACTACTGATTAGCTTTGTACTCTGCATTTTAAGGTTTTGGCTGCTAAAATGTTGTTGTTATCAAGTTTTGGAGGGTTTATGAGCCAGAAGTGACTATTTATGGATGACTCTGTGGCAAGACTGGAACACAAGCTTCTTTGATAGTTTACTACTGGTGAGATTATTACACGACAAAAGACACCAATGCTACAAAAACTGGTTAAGCTGAGCAGACATCTGTGTCGGCATGTACCTGTAAGTCAGCGTAGCCACACCTTTTACTTTTGAGCTTTTGTAAAGTTTAGATAAGAAAGCAACCATGTGGACTGGGGCTAACAGGTTATAAAGACAAAAAGAAACTGTATCAGGTTGCAAACACATTTATTTTTGTTGTAAAGCTGGGCATTTTAACATCAAAGGTTATAGGGTTTTGACTCTTTTGAAGCCAGTCTCACTCTAAAGAGCTGCAGGTTTTGGCACTTTTTCATTTTGATGCTTGTCGATGGTTTAATTCTTTTTTTTGTCACTCGTTTGTAAGTTATTCAGTGACTGTTGATCTACACAAACACTTGATGCACTGAGTTTTTTCTACTGTTTTCAATATCGCAGTGTTCGACGTGCGCTCTTTTTCTTTCACACAGATGTCTTCCATTATGTCTATCAGTTCCCTGCGAGTAGTGTAAACTTGTCGGGGATCGCAGTGATTCACAGTATTTGTCACAGTACTTTCTCTCTCTCTGATGTGGTAAATGACAGTTAATGCTGCCTTTCAACTTGATGCCGGTTGACAGTTGATCCACTCCTCCTGCTGCTGTTGTTGTTAAACTGGTTTTTCTCTCTTTACGTCTTGGTTATAACCAAGAGAGGCGCTTCCCTTTAACACCGCAGCCTTTAGACCTTTTGTTGTTCTATCAATACTCTAGCCAAGTGACACATTTACCAGATTTCAGCTCCTCTGCCAGTTGTCACTTATATTTGGTAGCAGTTAGGAAAAACAGCTCCAACTGTTTGGTTTTTTGTTTTTTTTTTTGATTAAAGCTTTACAATTTTGCTTTTTATATTTTACAAAATGAACTTTGTTTACATCCAGTTCTTATTTGATATCATCTTGACTCATTTACAACAACAAAAAAAACACAACACAGATTTTCTAATTTTGTTTAAATAAATATAACACTGTTTGTGGGTTGTAAATTATTGTTATAACCAGGGAATAAAAAAAGATTGAGAAACAATACTGATTTCTTTAATTGTGTTTTGTTTAGATCATTACATGCCAGATAAAATGTAGTTCATCACTGCTTTAAAAAAATAAAATAAAAGAATCCCCCCCAGAAGACTGAGTAGTGATTGGTGAGCTCATGCAAATGTTTACCACGTTAAATGTCCTCCACTGGAGGTCTACAGGATAATGATGCATTCGTGACCATGCCTCAGGTGGAATTTATACTTCTGCAATTCAGTTTATCAGAGCCATACGTAGGGTTAAATCTTACGTCACAATATCCTATGCTGACATGCACCTCCCTTCCTCAAAACAACTGTGATTGGCCTGTTTCCTCCTCTTCTAATTGACTGGAAGGGAATGAATCAACTCCAGGCTTTCAGACTTCAGTGCAGAAGTATAAATTATGCTTTAGGCTCATATTGGGAGTCTTCACTTCTCGTCATCTCCTCAACATACCAGTGTGGCAGGAAGCAATACTGAGAGTCTCTGTGGGCAGAGTAGGTGACATCTTTGTAGGGATCCCAGGAGAACAGGTACACCACTCTGAAATGACAACAGAAAGAGATTAACATGTATTTACCCCAAACCAGAATATTTTAAAAGTCTTATTATAGCTCACCTAGGACTGTCTTCGGTAACTACACGCTTCACAAAAGACAGGAAATCGCAGCAAAAGTTCATGCATACTGTCGGCTTCCAGCAGTTATACTCGTTCTGTTTAAAAGATGTACAGAAGGCTCATGAAGTGTGCTCATGGTGTGCTGCCAGATGTTTTTAAATCACGAGTTATTTATTGCTTTACCTTGATGAGATGGGAGATCTTAGAAATGTGAAAGGTCTCCACGGAAACAACGACACCTTCCTGATCTCGGAAACCTGCCACCACTCTAGGGACTCCCGGGAGAAAAGACTGGGCCCACCACTTAAGCAGTTTGAACCTGAGGAGCGCCAAAATAAAAGCGTTACCATCCAGCCAACCACACAACGTGAAAATTATGAGGCTTTACTTTATCCTGTACCTGTGGAAGTTGCTGCGCTGTTTGGGGGTGCAGATCTCTGCAGAGGTCTTCAGCTCCACGTAACAGGCAGGAGCAGCCGGAGCTTTGGGATCTTTATCTCGACAGTCCACCTCGCCGGAGAACAGCAGTCTGTGATCCGCGAGCCGAGTTTGCACCACAGTGCAGAAGGCCTCGTTGGTGTTAACCACTCCACCAGGGTCAGGTAGACTGTGGGTATTGTCTACAGGAGAGACAAAGGTGAAACTTTACCACTGAAAGCACTGTGCTAGGTTTAGTTTTCATATCTAATATAAGGGACACACGGATATGTACAGAAAAAATAATGATTTGAAGTCAGTGTTGGGCATTATAATAATCACATTACATTTTTATAGAGTGTAGTAATTTTAATTAATCGTGGTAAGATCAACAATCATACTGCATTTACGAGTCTTTGCTGTTACTCGAGTTCTTCAATTACATAAAGACATGAAGATAACTTTTTAAAAGGACAGCTGCTGGAAGCGGCCATCAAAAGATAGGCACTGTGGTCATAAAGGGATGAACATAATCAGCAACAATACTCAGGCTGTGTCATGTAAATGATGCTCAACTGGTACTAAGGGACCCAGCAGCCTGGACTGCTGACACAAAGCAGCATGGATCTGTGTTTTCCTGTTGTTTATCCCCAATTCTGCCATTACCAGTGCAGCACAAACCAAGAATCATCAGCCAGGAAACATTTTTCTAGTCTTCTATTGTCCAGTTTTGTTGAGCTTGGATGAATTATAGCTTCAGTTTCCTTTTCTTAGCTGACAGGAGTTGCACCTGGTGTGGTCTTCTGATTACCTCGATTGTACTAAGTGGTTGTTTGAGTTACTCTTGCCTTCCTATCAGTTCCAAGCAGTCTCTCTTTGATCTTTGGTACCAATGAGGAATTTTCACCCTGAGAACTGCCACTGACTGGATGTTTCCTCTTTTCAAACCAGTCTCTGTAAACCCTAGAGATGGTTATGTGGGAAAATCCCAGTAAATTAGCGTGCCTGGAGAGAACCCACACAGGCAGCAAAGCTCACACGAAAACAGCCGGTGAAATCAAACCTGCACCTTCTTTTTGTGAGGCAAAAGTACTGTTTTTGTTTGGGGTTTTTTATTATACCATTAGCATTTTTCCCCATAGTGGAAATCTCACATGTTGTGCTTCCCAGGCACAAATGGACTGAATATAAAACCAGTTGATTATGAGGTATGCCTGTGAATCATCAGCTGTGGGTAAGGCAGTTTAAATCAGTACCCAAAGTTTCAAAAAAAAAAAAAAAAAAAAGGAAAAATAAGGTACTACATAAACCCACCTACCTGCACATGTGTATTGCTCAAACTTGTATCCCCAGTACATCATCTCTTCATGCCTCTCGGTGCGGTTCTCCCGTTCCCTGCGAGCAGCTTCCGTTTCCACCTCACTGATGTAAAATGTGCCCCTGAACCTGGTGACTGCTAACAACCAGCCTTCCCTTGTCTCATAAGGAGTGGTCAGCAGCTTAGTTAGGTGGCCCCGCCATGTCACAAAGTCGACATCTAAAGCGCTGGAAAGAGTAGAGGTTGATCAAAGAATACATGTCCAGTAGGAACTGTTGTTGTGGTTAGAGATCAATAATGTTTATCTCTCTCTCTCTCTCTGTGTGGGACCTACTTGATCACCTGAAGAGAAATACAATAAAAACAGGAACCTCACAGCTACACTTACCGAGGTGAGGCTGCTGCCCCTGTTGGGTTAATCTTTGATTTATTGGCTACAATCCACCGGAGAATATGGTCCAGCCTCTCCTTCACACTGTCGTCTCTTTTTATAAAGCGATCCCTGTATCCATCCCTCAGGTTGAAATTTGGATTCCTGTCAGGCTCCACGTAGTACCTCATCTGCCTGCTGTCGTTGAAGAATCTACGCTCAGAGTCGAGGGAAAAACATCCCACTTCCACAGGCTGTTTGTAAACAGGAAAGTCTCTTTCATAAAGCTCTCTTCTCGTGCTTAAAGTCCTGCAGCTCAAAGGGTTTTGACCCAGAGCCGACTCAGACCGATACTGGTGCTGTGTGTTCGTTCTGAAGTGTTTATTCTCACGAGGACTTCTGCCACTGTCGTCTCTTTGTCTTTTGTACGAGGACTGATGGCTGTGACAGCTGATGCTGGATCTGTGGGGGTCCATAGCTGGACAGAAAGAATTTATGAGTTTTTGTTCTTTAAGTGCAATTTTTTCAGGGATAAGTTAGGTTAGGGTTAATGCATATGTGCATATTCTTTAGCTAACTTTTAAAAATATAACAGGCAACTTTGCAAAGAACCGATTATAAGCTGTGTCCTTATAATCGGTTTGCATCAAACATCCAAAGAAGAGCTTTGGATGTCCTTCAAGAAGCCTGGAAAACTATTCCTGAAGACTGCTTAAAGAAATGACAGGAAAGCTTTGCTAACAGAGTTCAGGCTGCGTTGAAGAATAAATGTGGTCAAACCAAATATTGGCTTTCAAGATCGTTAGAACTGTACAAAGTTGTTTTTGCCTTATATACTTTATACTCTTGTATGCTTGAACATGTTTTGATAAATCGCTGCACCGGTTCCACATTTTCCTACCAAAATATAAAGACATGATGGGGTGGCTGAAGACTTTTGCACAGTGCTGCATATTTAAAATTAGAAATGTGTTCTTTCCTCTCTGTAACAAATTGTACACAAACAATGAATTAGTTTAAGTTTAAATGCAGCATATCTGGACCTAGAACCGCCTGATGTGCTTATAACAGTTTATGTGTTGAATGTTGAATGGAAAAGAGGCAGGTAATGTCTGGCGTGTGTCTGCACTGTTTCTCAATTAAATGCATGTTTAAAATTAACAAAGGTTTCCTAATACCGCTGTTACTAACCCCACTACGAAAACTAAAGAGTACTTTCATGAATAAATAAGACGTAAGTAAGTGATAACCTACCTCTTTACAGCACAGCGAGCAGAGGTTGCTAAGCTAACGTTAGAAGTTCCCTGTTTATATTATGTCAGAGGAAATAAAATAACAGACTTGGCACAGGAACAACAAACATACGTTTGTTGCATCTTTACCGACTAAAACCAAGAAGTAGCTGAGTTAGAAAAACGCTGCCTTGTTTTTGTAGCGAGACAGCTAACTAGTCTCACACGCTAACAACAAGCTAACGCCACTTCCGTGTGCAGTTTTCCATCCAATCCGCTGCTCGGTGTTAGCGGCGACACTTCCTCTAAAAACACTGTAAATATCCGTGAAAAGAAGAGTTGTAGCAGTTCCCTGTAGCTGTTGGGCTGGTTTGTGGCTCTGGCAGAGAATAAAGTGATGTAAAAGAAAAAAAAAAACATTATTATTGGGTTTATTCATCAGGTAAGGACGAAAATTATTTTCGAGTTCAAATAGCTGATAAACGAGCTAGCGTTAGCATGGCTAACGGTGTAGTGTTTTTAACCTAACAAAACTTGTTTTCTGAGCGTACCTTTATGGAAAATATGAGATTATGTCTTATAATTCATTCATCAGAAATTGGCAAAGGAGTGGATCTTGACTGTGGGGCATTATTCTTAATTAGTAGGAAATAATGATATGATTGACCATTTAAAGGTCTTTTAATAGGCTCTGCGTTGTGTAGCGAGAAAAGCAGCATCTTGGAGTGAACAGGTGCAAATTTCTCCTTCAGGTATGAGCAGGAAACGGGCTCTGATTTCAGACGCTTTCAATCTGAAGAAGAGAAGAAATGGCACAGAACAATTTGGAGCTACTGCTGCTGAAGATGGTGGGTGTGACTCCTAAAAAATCTACAATAACGTGATCAAAAAACTCTTCATTTGAAGTTCACACTGTCATTTCTTCACTTTAAAAGGACCAGCTGACATTAAATCCAGTCTGGAGTACCTCATGACCCTATTTCCCAGAAAGCTCTTCAATGATGCACTGCCTCAAATTGTGCTGAAGCACCAGCTCTACAGCTTACACAGTGACAAGACTTTGGTGGACAAGGAGGTGGTAAGGTGGATTTTAAGTGTTAGAAATGTATGTGTAATCATTTCTGCAGATTCAGATGTGAAATACAACTCGTTGCTGTCATCGGTAACAGAATAAGATGCGTGAACGAGGAGATCTGCTGATGTTCCAGCTCGGGTTCGACGCAGAAGCCTTTGGGCTGGTTTTTACTTCTGACTACAAGGCCAAAGTGCTGGCGGGAGAGGAGGGCAAAACCACAAGAGCCACCGTGGAGAGGTTCTTGGAGAAAGTGGTGTCCGCTTGCACAGATCTGAGCTTCACGAAAGACAAAATGCTGAAGGAGTTTCTCTTCACAGACTCTGAGATAACGTATGAAAGACACCCATATATTGCATGCGTTTATTATTTAGCTTTATCATTCCCAAACCTTCTATCTTGGACATAGTTTAACATTTAACTTCCTAGATAAATAAAAAGTAAAGCAACACTGCTGACAATGACTGAAAGAGTTTGACATTTATTTAAAGGGGTAGCAGAGAATAACATTTTCTGTGGCATTAAAGCTGTTTTTACCGATTTCCATAACTTTGTGCTTGGCATTATTGAATGAATGTGTAACCTCTGACTTGGCCATTCTGAAAGATAAAGATCAACTCAGAATCTGTTTTCTCCCCACACACAGGCAGCTGGTTAAGTCTGGGGTCCTGACTGTGAGGGATGCAGGCAGCTGGTGGCTTTCCATTCCCAACTCTGGCAAATTCACAAAGTACTTCATAAAAGGTTGGTGTTGAATCTCACTTGATTGAATCGTAACAGCGATTTCCTTTAGTTACGACACCCATTAATGTCTTTGTTCTCATTTTGCCGTTAGGCCGTAAAGCAGTGCTCAGCATGGTTAAGAAGTCCAAATACGGCGAAGTCTTAAAGGCAGAAATCGAGGAGCGGCGGACGAATTCACAAGTGAAATTCCATATGAAATACCACATTTATGACATTGTTGGCGCAGAGCTGGTAGAGAGGTAATACGACTGGATGCTTTTTACCTCCTTTCCTTACCTTTATCTTAGTAGGTCAGTTTAACCACCTGTTAAGGCATTAAATACAGCTGCTCTCAATCGTATTTCAGTAACTGGACTAAATTTAAGAAACTCCCAATCCGACCGTCTTTGATTTCTCTGAAAAAAGTCCAGGGAGACTAGACCTGTGTCTTTCAAAACTTTTTTAGGTCAAGTATCTGGTACTATGACTTCAGCAATGTGGAATTTCAAAATAATCTCACATTCAGTTGAGCGATAATTAGCTTAAAAATTTGCTAGTATAGCTTATACAGGCCAAATTTAAAGGGCTGTAGAAAAAACAATTCAAAGACAGGAGTTTAAGTTTATAACACTTTCATGTGTTAACCTCTTATAAATGGATCACCTCATATTACATTTAATGTGTAGTTTTATTATCACGAAACTACTCTAATCAGATGAAGTTCTTTGTGATGTACCAACAAATGGCATCATCTGACATTTCCAATTTCACTTTTCTAGAAAGATTTGGTGTTTGGTGGTAACAGATCCAAAATGTATGATGGTGTTCTGCCTTTCCCAAAGGTTTCCTTTTTCCCATTTGGTCTATTTACAGGATTATTAGTCTTTATGGTCACTAATGTGTGCGTGTTACTGTCAAACAGTTTTAACAACTCTTGATCTTTAAAATTACGTCTGTCTTGAAGTGTGGTTCCTTTTCTTTAACGTCCAAAACAATCTGACTTGTTTTCCGCCTAACTCGAGTCATGTTTTCGTCTGATCCCACTGATTTTAATGAATGCTTTCTTTCTTTCCAGCATACCGACAACTTCAGGGACCCTGTTGCGATCTGTGGATTCGTGAGGCTGACGTCAGGCGCTGACGGACGATGAGAAATTTATGAACGGAATGAAAAGTGTTTATAAAAAGACTGAATGGACTAATTTAAGTATTCAAGTGCAGATTCTGTGCCAAATGTGCTACTAATGACCTGTGATGACGAGACGTTGTCAAGTTTTGGTTTATCTTGTAATAAGATTTATTTAAATTTCTTTGCATCACATATGAGATTCCTTGTCTACATGGAGTTTACAACCTAATGGCAATCATTGCCTCTGTGCTGAGTGTTTTCAGGAAACAAAATGCTTTGTTACAAATAAATGAGATTTCCCAACATCCTGTTTGAAACTTGAAGGTCAGTTTTCCAAAACCAAATAATGTCCCGCCTGTCAAAGCTTGAAACTGTGTCACCTTTAAGTAAAACGGATTACATCATTTTTTGTTCGCTGCTTCTCTCATGTTGTCTCTTCTGTTTTTGTGCTCAGTCAGCATCACTTGTGTGCAGCATTCATCCTTTGCCCGTACTTAACTGTATTTCAAACCCTTAGAAGGGTCAAGCTCATTAATTGTTTTGAACAGGCCCCTTTTCCTGAGAGCTTCAGACAGGATTTTTCATGTCCCACTAATAATTCCCAGGAATTGTTTTTCACTCATCTCGTCCAAAACCTCACAGTGTATGTATGGAATACAAGTGCAGGACTGAGCTTGAGATTAGAAGTTCTATTTTTAAGCTAAAAGTTGTTTTTTTCCTTCTAGGTTTTCCCCAACGTGACTGCTCCACTCTGTGTGCGTGTGTGCAGATTTGATCTTTTGACTACATTGATGTCATAGATATTATAGTTACATTGAGTCCACTTTATTTGGAAACTTCCTTGTAACCTTTTGTAAACAGTTTGGAAGTGTTTGTTAAAAGAATAACTGAACAGTGAAAACTGGGGGTTAAATTACACTGTAAAATTGCACAAAATAGTTGTGATCATATTTTGTGGAGCTCTGCTCTACCAGCTGATTGCACCGCTATGTCTGTCAACCCATCCCCACAAGAAAATATCAAACACAAAGGGGACAGTGTCTGACTCCAGTGAGCCACAAATGCACCAGAGGCTTTCCCCAACACAGTCCTCATTTATAGTTCTACAAAACTCCCACTGACAGGTGGATTCTCCTGTTTCAGTGCAGCTAGCCAACAATGGATAAAACCAGTTGTTGCTGTCATATGCAGTACAAGGGTAACTCCCTAGATTGCTTTTGTAGTTTTAGTATCCTTCTTTTCTTCAGAGTTATCAGTTCTGTGACTAGTTACACTCAACAAAAATATAAACGCAACACCTTTGTTACTGCTCCCATTCCCCATGGGATGGACGTAGAGACCTAAAATTCATCCCAGATACACAATATAACCATCCCTCCCAAACAGTGGTCACAAATCAGTCCAAATGTGTGGTAGTGGGCACATCTGCTATATTGAGATAATCCATCCCACCTCACAGGTGTGCCACATCATGATGCTGATCTGACATCATGAGTAGTGCACAGGTGTACCTCAGACTGCCCACAACAAAAGGCCACCCTGGAATGTGCAGTTTTGTCTCACAGCAAAATGCCACAGATGCCACAAGCAATGAGGGAGCGTGCAATTGGCATGCTGACAGCAGGAATGTCAACCAGATCTGTCGCCCGTGCATTGAATGTTCATTTCTCAACCATAAGCCGTCACCACAGGCGTTTCAGAGAATATGGCAGCACATCCAACCGGCCTCACAACCGCAGACCTCGTGTAACCACACCAGCCCAGGACCTCCACATCCAGCAGGTTCACCTCCAAGATCGTCTGAGACCAGCCACCCAGACAGCTGCTGGAACAATTGGTTTGCACAACCAAACAATTTCTGCACAAACTGTCAGAAACCGTCTCAGGGACGCTCAACTGCATGCCCGTCGTCCTCATCGGGGTCTTGACCTGACTCCAGCTCGTCGCCGTAACAGACTTGTGTGGGCAAATGCTCACATTCGATGGCGTCTGGCACGTTGGAGAGGTGTGCGCTTCACGGATGAATCATGGTTCACATTGTTCAGGGCAGATGGCAGCTGAGAATGTCCCAGTTCTTGCATGGCCAGCATACTCACCGGACATGTCACCCATTGAGCATGTTTGGGATGTGCTTGACCGGCGTATACGACAGCGTGTACCAGTTCCCACGAATATCCAACAACCTCGCACAGCCATTGAAGTGGAGTGGACCAACATTCCACAGGCCACAATTGACAATCTGATAGACTCCATGCGACGATGTGTTGCACTGCATCAGGCAAATGGTGGTCACACCAGATACTGACCGGTTCTGGGTCCCCAGACCCCCAAT